AACAAGAATAGATCTAGAGACAAATGGTAGGGGAGTGGATCTGGACACAGATACTGGGGCAGTGGGGGCTTGCCCTGAGTGGGAATGGAGGCGGGTGGTCAATTTGGGAAAAGGGAGACATATGTAAAACTTCAGACAATAATAAAAAATTTGCTCCCACTTATTGAGTGCTTATAATATCACAGGCATTGTTAAACTCATTTATTTACCACAATAACCCTAAGAGGTAGGTTCTCTTGCTATCTGTATTTTATAGAAGAACATGAAGCTTAAAAGGTGTTAAATAATTTTCCCAAAGTCACATAGCTAATACTAGTAAGAAGATAAAAATTGAGAGCCAAGTATGCAAATCATCAAACTTTATACTATACTATCCTGTGATTAAAATATAGTTTTATATGCAGCAGAACTGGTTAAGCCCTTATTTTAATACTGTGTCTAATTCTGTTTCACAGTTTACATGTGGAAATGGATGTCTTGTATCTATTATCAGATATTAAGAGAGTTTTTCTACAAACCCAGTGGTAACTGACCTCCTTCTCCCAAGAGTCTAGAGCAGCCGTGGGCAAACTATGGCCCGCGGGCCGGATCCGGCCCGGATCCGGCCCGTTTGAAATGAATAAAACTAAAAAAAAAAAAGACCGTACCCTTTTATGTAATGATGTTTACTTTGAATTTATATTAGTTCACACAAACATTCCATCCATGCTTTTGTTCTGGCCCTCCGGTCCAGTTTAAGAACCCATTGTGGCCCTCGAGTCAAAAAGTTTGCCCACCCCTGGCTAGAGCCATGGTCGACAAACTGCAGCTCGCAAGCCACATGTGGCTCTTTGGCCCCTTGAGTCTGGCTCTTCCTAAGCCTTAGGAGTACCCTAATTAAGTTAATAACAATGTACCTACCTATATAGTTTAAGTTTAAAAAAGTTGACTCTCAAAAGAAATTTCAATCGTTGTACTATTGATATTTGGCTCTGTTGACTAATGAGTTTGCCGACCACTGGCTAGAGTAAAAGGGAAAGAACTTCCAGCTCTCTTTAGTCTTGGAATGTTAAATACTGTTAGGCTGATGTTCTGGGAGCAAGAAGGGCAGTGTGCAGACCTGGGTGAAGTTCTTTTGACAACTCTTCCTGCCCCGCTTCAGTTTTTCTTCTGTCTCCCTCTTTGACCTCTCATGCTTAGTTCTGACTGAAATCTGCAGAAGCAGGTGAACAGGACATAGGGGTTTCTAGAACTCTTTATATGTGAAATGACACAGAAAATACTACCTTATATGGTGGTAGTATCACTTACTTGGTATAAAAATTTTGAAGCTGGTCTGTTCATATAAGCTTCACATATAATGTAACAGGTCACAAGGAGGGAAGCAAGGGAAGAGGATGGTTGCCTCTCCCCCACTGCTGTTTGCTCTTTAAGGATGGAGTTTTAGGATAGAAGCTGCTGGAAGTCATCAGTGATAATATTTGCTAAAGTCTGGGATCCCCAAAGCTGAATGGTTTTTGGTATGAAAGAATACAAATGAGTTGGAGAAGGAAAAAAATGGTAGCAACAAAAAAAAGTAAAAAGAGAAAAAAGGGATAAAAATGAGAACATATTTAAAACTAAAGGGAGGGAAAAGGGAAAGACTAAGGAACAAATTGTAAGAGAAGAGAGACAAGAAGATCTAAAGAATGAGGCAGAAGGGAGAGAAGTGCTTGAATGAATGGACTGATGGACTGGGAAGCGGTAGAGGAAGCGAAGTCACATGGAAGGGACGGCTGTGCCCTGTGTGCATGCTCCCGACCATTCCGTTCTTGTGCTCTTGCACCATGGCTAACCTGCTGCTATCGGTGACGTCATTCACAAACGGGCATAAATAACTTCTTGTTCAAATTTGTTTCATTTTAGGCTGTCAAAAGACACGAGTCTTTAACAAGCCTGAACTTAGAAAAGAAAGCTCGTCTGAGAGAGGAAGCAGCTATGAAAGCCAAAACAGAGTGAGAGGTATTCATGTTGGCTAGATTTTGAAAACCCAGGAATAATGTGTCAGCAACAAGCCTGTCTTAAAAGAATGTGGTATGAGGATCCATTTCATAAAAGTTATGGTTTGTACAAACATACCATTTCCCTATTTCTGCTCTAGAGGTACAAATAAATTTTCTTAAATGACTTGTCTAATTTCACAGCTTTGATCCAGGTTAAATGCGTCCTCTCAACTTTTTTGATTAAATGAAAAATGAGACAACTTATTTTGACTTAAATATTAACTCTTTAGAGTCAGGTTCCATATCTTACTTTACTTCCCATTACCAAAGTGACCTCTCCTCAGAAGTCAAAATGCTTCTTTTTCTGCATCTCTCTCTCTCTCCCTCTCTCTCTCTCTCTCTCTCTCTCTTATTTGTATTCCTTTCTGGAGAAAGAAGGCCAGCTGAGAATACTGCCCAAGGGCATCTTAGAGAGCTAACCTCCTCAAGTGCCATGGTTCTTCTCAGAGCCCTGGAAAGCAGACAGAACACACTTTGCCATTCTCGGGTGTGCTGGCATAGACGCTTTTAGCACAGTCCTTGAAAATGTCCTAGCAAGGTGATGATAATGATCTTGCCACAAGTTTCTAAGGACTTTGAAATCCCAGCATCATTGAATTGCTTGGGACCAGCAGTCACCTCTTCTGCTCCATGGCTTAGAATTCCTAACTGGTCCTTGTCCTGCTGCCTTTACACTAAACTTCTCAATTATGAAAGTCTATCAACTGCATTTTCTTATTAGTGTTGCATTTGCACCTGGTATATATCTCACTTTGACCGGTATGCCAAGCTGTCTCATATTTAGGTAAGGATGCTAGTTTCTATTTTAAATAGTCATTTATTCTCTCACAAATAATAGTGGATGACAAGTCCTCACAGCCATCTCAATCTGCTAGGTCTCCTAAGAGGGTTATAGCAGATTAAAATGCAGCTGTTTGGGAACTTGGCTTAATAAAATGTAATACACCAGTCTACCTAGAGCTTTATAACTATCTGATGTTAATGATGTTTGTCTATAAATTTTATTTTGTAGTAATTTGACCATAGCTTCTTTTTAGATACCAAATTCTTTGATTTTTATCACTTGAAAATTTACTATCAAAAAGCACTGTTCCTTACACATTTTAGATTAGTTTATTTTGAAACATTTATGTTACATCTTACCTAAACCAATGTTCTAAATATGGGTAAATTTTAATGTACTTCTTTTAAAAATAAGTAATCTTTCTTCATAAAACAATACCATTTTTAATTTCTAAAGTAGCATTTTAAAGTGTTGTATCTTGGAGTTTTATTGTAATAAAAATGTTTTCTTAAACCAAGCTCACATATGCAGCAAGAATACACACAATCTTTTCTCATTTTGTGTCATTCACCTGTTCAGTAACTTATAGTGACTACCTCCTTATGGATTAAATACAAATTTCTTGGCCAGAATTTCCGACCTACCCCTATCTAATCTCACTTCTCCCAGTACCCTCACATGCTAACTTCTCAGCAGTCATACCCTACTAGTAACTTTTAATATCTTATGTTTTTCAGAACTTGTCAAGCAATTCAGATTTAGTGAGCAGTAGTATAAAATACTGTAGAACACAAAAGACAGTTTTGCTCTTGATACTTTCAATTTAATTACTGTTGTACTATCTTTTGCTTAATTTCTAGATTTTTTTTTCATGTTTACCATGTCCCTAGATAGTGGGCAGAAACCATTTTCCACTTTATATTTTATATAAGCCTTGTGTGAGATTATACTCAGATACAACAAAAATAATAGTATGGGGAATTGATTCCAAAAATTTAGTGAAAGCAGGCAAGGAATGAAGTGCTGGTGATATAATTCATTGTCATTCATCAAACATCACTTGAGTCCCTTCTATATACAAAAACAGAATACAAAGTCCAATAGCATAACATATTTCTTGTCTCCACAGAACACATAATATATGGGAAACATGGCCTATGAAACCATTACAATACAAATTGATAAGTGATATATTTTGAACTTTAATAACAGAAACGATAGAAATAGCAATAGCCCTAACTGGTTTAGCTCAGTGGATAGAGCATCAGCTTTGAACTGAAGGGTCCTGGGGTTCAATTCTGGTCAAGGGCACATGACTCGGTTGCTCCATCCCCAGTAGTGGGCGTGCAGGAGGCAGCTGATCAGTGGTTCTCTCTTATCATTGATGTTTCTATCTCTTCCCCCTTCCTCTCTGAAATCAAATATATATTTTTTTTAAAAAATAAAAATGCTTTCTTTTAAAAAAAAGAAATAGCAATAAAATCTAACTCAGCTGCCAACTGGTTGGAGTCAGGCAGGCAGTGATGGCTCCACAAAATACTGATTTCTGAACTAAGTTTGAAGCATGGATAGGAACTAGTGAGTCAGTCACATAATGAAAGAGAGCGGCCTCACCACTCCAACATTTAGCTTGTTTGAAAATCATGAGAGGGCACAACCTGACAAGCCATCTAGGGGTCCTTCAGTAAAATACCATTTATAATGTTTTACACTCTCAGAAAAAACCTAACCATGACTTCTTTTTCCCAATTAAAGACTTGATTCCATAGACTATTTCATGTCCCATTTGGTAGGCTATCACTATACAGGAATTGCACTTAGTGTGAGTGGTGCCTGACACACATCTCTAATCCACCACCATCCCAGGCCTAAGCTCTTATTCATCTGATCTCCCAAACCAAAAACCTTGGAGTTATTCCAAACTCCTTTGCTCTCTTCATTTAATTAATCATTGTCTTGTGAATCTTCTAAATATTCCTCAAATATACCAATCCTTTAAATAGTCATAGAGAAGAATAGAATGGAAATCTATTCAATGACAGACACAAGAGATTAATAAACTTCAAGATTAAGAGTCAGAAGCCCTGGGTTCTAGACTTGCTATTCCAATTGTCTTGCTTTGAAAATGTAGGTTGTATGTCTTAAAATCTTATATAATTCAAGACAATGTTAAGAAATACAAAACCATGCCAAAATTAAGAGAAATCATCTTTTAAAATATACAACTTTTTGCCAACTTGGCTCTACTACTTGATTTCTAAAGGGTTTAGTAGTTACTTTTCCACAGTTTAATTGTTTTGTCATTTCCTAATGCTGCTGATGCAATGATGTTTTCTGTAGGATGACAAGCTGCTGAGATGACGACATCTGTGTGACCTTGTAATTTCTGTACAATCTCTTTAGTCTGAAGGTTCCAAATGTAAACTAGGTTATCCTCTGAACCAGACACAATCCACTTCCCACCAGTAACTGAAAAATTGGCAAATATGCAGTATTTCTCATTTTTATGACCAGTGTATGTCTTCAGGCATCTGCCTCTGCTATAATCCCATAGTTTAAGAGTATTATCCAAAGTTGCGATGAGAATGTATTTACCATTTGGAGAAAATTTTACAAAAGAGACGGGAGGGTTATCATCATCAACAAGTGTTTTTAAACACTGACCTGATGCAGCATCCCAGATTCTACAGATGCCATCATAACTACCTGATGCTATCAAGGACCCATTACAACTAAAATGAACAGCAGAAACTGGATCAGAATGAGCAGACAAAGTCTTGAGACACTTGCCTGTTTTCACCTCCCATATTTTCACACTCTCATCAAAAGATCCTGAAATTATGAGGTTGGATGGTGGATTAAAATTACAGCAAAACACATAATGACTGTGCCCCTTCAGTGTTTTCAAACATTTTCCTGATCTCACATCCCAAATCTTGAGAGTTTTGTCATCTGAGGCAGAAACAAGACGACTGGAATCTGATGACCAGTCAACATCTGATATTTCCAGACTGTGACCATGAAGAATTTTCTCCTTTTTTCCATCATAGGCTCCCCAAATTATAATTACTTTGTCAGCAGAAGAACTTGCTAGCCACTCTCCATTAGGACTAAACTTAACTGATGATACAGCTTCCATATGTCCCACAAGAGTACATCTGAGAGCATAGTTTGGTTTTTCATAGGCTTGTTTGCTCTGATTGGCTGATGAGGTGAGGGCTGACTGTGCTTTGGCATCTGATTCCTTTGTTGCCATGGCTTCGAAGCTCCAAGTCACTAGGTTGGCTCAGCGTCCGGCCCAGAACCAGGCAGCCCAGTATTTTGATTTTCTGCCCAGCAAAATGAAGATTAAAACATTAGATTATTAGACTAAAATATAAACGGTCTTTAATGATAATTTCTGGACCATCTTTTAATTACCATATACACATGGCTTGCACCGCTTCAGTTTCTCCTCGCTTCCTTCTGTAAACAAATACTTGAGAAATATTATTAAAAAGTCCCATGCGCAGTCAGCAAGTAAGGTATTAATGTTGGGTATTTTGTGAACGTACTCAGGCGTCCAAAGCGGGGCGGGGCAGGGCGCAGGGAAATCTCTATACAAACTATAGTTCACGGCCCCTCCCCCAGTCCGACAGGTTTGAGAACACTGAGCAACCCTACCAGTCTGGCAGTTTAGGTACTTTAGCATGAATGCATCACCGCTTTAGACAGATTTCAGAAGCTAAGAGAAAACCTGCGTAATCGCCGTTATTCGAGGCCCGGCCTGCCGACTGCATTCTGCAGATACAAACGGGTCATCACCGCCGCGTCAATCGCTAAAACAGCCGGCCGGACGCTAAGCGCATGCGCAGAGGGAGCCACCTACTTCCAAGTCAAGGTGACCAATGGGGGAAGCCTTCGTGCGCTTGCGCAAAAATGGAAGCGGTTTTCTTCCGGTCTTCGCCTCCGCCTCTACACGGAAATGCGCAATATCTTCCTTACCCTGGGGCCGGGATTGTTCCAGACCTGACCGGCTAGAGTGGAAAGCGGTGAATATGTCAGAAAAGATTTGTTTCTTTTTGCAAACCGTGTCACAAGAAAGGACTGCATTTTCCGCGTTTAGCCGCAGGGCTAAGCCCACAGTTGGGACGTGAGCTGCCCAGACAGTGCGCGTTTGTGAATGTAGCTAAGTCTTGTATACAGCAAGGCTGCAAATAGGCTAGGGGAGCGAAGCGACTTCTGGTTTTAAAGTTTTCCCTAAAAGCCATGGCCGGATTGCTCAGTCGGTTAGAGCGTCATCCCTATGCACCAAGGTGACAGGTCGAGCCCGGTCACTGCACATAACAGGAATCAACCGCTGGCCTGTGTGTCCTGGTGGTTGAGCGTGGACCTAGGAACTAGGAGGTCCGGTTGGATTCCCGGTCAAGGCGGGCTGTGGGCTCAATACCCAGTAAGGGGTTGGGGTAGGAGAACAGCCAATCATGAATGATTCTCTCTGATCTTGGATGTTTCTTGCCCTTCCTCTCTGAAATCAATAAAAATATATTTTAAAAATAATAAAAAAGAAAAAAAAAGAACCAATGTAAGTGGAACAACAAATTGATGTCTCTCTCCTCCTCCCCCTCCCTCTTTCTCTGAAATCAATCAATAAAAATAATGAAGTTTCCCCTAAATGTTTAGAAAAGGATAAAAGAATAGGTGTTAGGGGCCTTGAAACGTCAATGCTCCAAGAGCATGATCTGGTAGTGCTGGGGTAAACTTCCAAATTAAGCTTCCAAAGAAAATGAAGGAAAGTTCCTATCTGCATAGGTGCTTGAGACAGAAAAGGGACAAAGAAGTTGATGGAATGGGGTAAGAAATGTGTATGGTTACTTCTAATTAGACTTTAGAGAGTTTACCCCAGTTTTAAGAAATGAGTAATGGCTGTGAAAGTATTACCTGAACGATACATGTTTTTCAGATGTAATTACTCTCTTTAAACAAAAATAGGTTACCCCCCACCCCCCAAAAATTGGTAATTTCTTCAGTCCTTGAATTGCTCAATAAAAAGTGCCCAGAGAGTCAGCAAGTGTTCTGTTTTAAATGGTTTTCCCCATAAGTTGAAGTCAGGAGGCAAATATCCTTCATGTTTTCTGTCAATCAAGAATTAAAACATTTGCCCTCGCTGGCGTGGCTTGGTGGATGGAGCATCAGCCTGCGGACTGAAGGGCCCCAGGTTCGATTTCAGCCAGGGGCACATGCCTGGGTTGCAAGCTAGCTCCCCAGTGGGGGGCATGCAGGAGGCAGCTGATCAGTGATTCTCTCTCATGATGTTTCTAACTGTCCTTCTCCCTTCCTCTCTGAAATCAATAAAAAAATAGTTTGAAAATTATATAAAAAAAGAGAGC